CTCTGGAGGAGCTTGGCGAATCCGCCGATGCTCCTACTGTAGTAGATCGAATTAGTCACTTCCCCATTATGTTCTCTTTTGCAGACGTATTGAGGAGGAGACATCTCCTCCCATCCAGTGGTCCACCGTTGTGCTTCTCGGCAACTTACGGGGCCCTGCTCTATTGCCCAGATGTAAATTTAGATGATGGCTGTAAGATTGGGAAACGCAGTAAGGATGCCGACTCCAAGTTTCAGAGGATTTTTCGGGACGAACTCAAGTCGGCCATGTGTGTGTATACTGATGGCTCTCGCACGAACGGTTGTCCGTTTGCGGGTTTTGCGTTTACCGCGCACGACGAATCCATTTCGTGTAAGTTTAGGTCCGTTGGGTTTGTGTCGTCCTTCTGCGTCGAAGCGATGGCTGTTCTCGCGGCCCTGAATTTGGCAGAGTCTCAGGAATGGCCCAGACTCGTAATTTTTTCGGACTCTAAATCTGTATTGAGCGCGGTTGGAGCCCCATACGTGCATAGTCATAGCTCATATCTCGTTCTAAAAATTAAAGCATCCGTGTATCGGCTTGTAAAGGAGAGAGGAGCCGAGGTAAAACTCGTTTGGATTCCTAGCCACACCGGTATAAGGGGCAATGAGCGAGCGGATGTTCTGGCAAGTGAAGCAGTGCGCGACGGCAGGGACACTCAGTTCGGTATTCCAACGTCGGAATTTACCAATCTGTGGAGTGCGAGTATGTATGATGACCTGTGGAATTGGTCCAAAAAAGAAGCTGCCACGCGAGGAGCTCTCTATTGTAATAATTATCTAATTAAGTCTAAACAGGTCTGGTTCAAAAAGTTTGACATTAAAAGGAGGACGGTAACTACGATAAACAGAATCCGATCGGGACATACGTCCCTGAGGGCTAGCCTCTTTCGGCACCGCATTGTCGACTCTCCGTTGTGCTTGAGCTGTGGTCTGGAGGAATCTCCTAACCATGTCTTTTGGGAATGCACAGACTATAGCGTACAGCGTAATGCCCTCGAAGAAGCTCTTGTCAGAGAGCGAGGATTCCTCCCTCATCCCGTCGAATACCTCATGGCGACTCTCGAGGAAGACATTATATATCCACTCAATTCATTTATATGCTCTATTGATAAGTTTATCTAAGTCGTATACATTTATGTGGTAATATACAACAATTAGTGCAAAGCGTAAAAGCGTTTAAGTTTAAGTTTATTATTACTATTGCTTTGTTGTCTGCGATCTTGCTTTTGGAGCGGTTATTGTTACTTTATGCGGATAGACATAGCCTCATTGTATTTAAATTTTTTGTTTTGTTTCTGACTCTAATCTACGTCAATTTTTGTTTTCCACATTTTGTTTTTGTATTTGGCGGGACTCGCGTGGCGGCCATTCGGGGGCTACTCGGGGTCCGCGCCTATGCCGGATGCGGCTGGGCGCGGTCCCTGACTGGCTCCCGCCGTTTCGCGCTCGCCTTTTCCACCCTGATTCCGACTTATTTTTCTGTTCAGTATATACGCAAAGCGCACACACCGCTAATGCGGTAAGATTTATGTATTGTTACCACCTCACTATCGAACGACTGTGTAAACCTGTGATTACGAGGAGAGTCCTTTACAACCTCCTCTATTGCGAACTAGCCTTAAGGTCTTATGTAACACACAAAGCTGTGATGTGCGGCTATACCAGTCTAATAGGCTAG